CCGTAACAGAATTCAATAAAATTCATCTTGTACCTAGGGTCCAAAACACATGCTATGGCCAACACCATACTATATTGGGACCAATACTTGTTGAATTTATTGAACATCTTTGTAGCCATCTCCCTAATATAATCATCATCACTTTGCAAAGCATTGTGTAATGTCAAGTGTGCTTTAAATACCAAGGGAAAATACAGATTAGCCGTTGCATACTTAGTGCCAGAGAATATACAAGTGATTTCATAAAAAACCTGAAGAAACTTGTTGATCTTTTCAATCCTTTCCCATTCTTCTATAGATGGACAATGCTTATAGTTAGAATCAGTTAATCTAAGATGTGCAAAAGCACGTTTATAATACAAAGCACTGTTAAGCATGATAAATGTTGAATTCCACCTAGTAGGAACATCTTGCCTCAAACCCTTCTTAGACAAAATTGAACTTTGAGTGACACATTCAAAAAAAATTTCTTTCCTACCTTGTGAACCCCTCACATATTTAATACTTTCCCTCACTTTTAGAATTGAAGTGTCAACCTCTTTCAAACCATCTTGAACAATCAAATTTAGAACATGAGCACAACAACGCAGATGGAAAAATTTTCCAGCACACAAAAGTCCATCATTAAGCCTTAATTGACTACTCAAGAACTCAACACATGAATCATTTGCAGATGCATTGTCCAATGTCATTGAAAATATCTTCTTTTCTAAGCCCCATTCTATCAAAAAAGTGTGTATTTTTTCAGCCAAGGAAATTCCATTATGAGGAGGAGGCATATGACTAAAATTCAAAACTCTTTTCTGGATTTGCCAACCACGATCCACAAAATGTGCCGTCAAACAAATAAAACCATCCGTGTTTATAGAAGTCCACAGGTCAGAAGTTAAACTTACCCTACTTGAGTTTCCCCTCAACAAAGCATGCAATCTTTCTTTCTCTTTCTTATACATTTTCAGACAGTCAGCCCTCACAGTGTTCCTAGTGATTAGATTTAAATCTCCTCGCAAGAACAGAAGTAAATTCTTAATTCCTGGCAGTTCAGCAAACTGAAATGGAAAGTCATGCATAATAATTGCTTGAACCAACAACTCTCTGAATCTATCATAATCAAATCTAGGACAAACAGATATAGAGTTACTAGAAGTAGAAAGCATGCACTGTCCAATATCTCTGCTATCCCTTTTAACACACTTATCTATATGCCTTCTCATGTTACCAGTTCCATAGCTAGGGTCTGATATATATGTCGTTCCACAATGTTTGCACTTGCAGTGGTCTTTCTCACCATCTGTGGTTGCTGGAATATGATCAAAATGGTTTCATACTTGTGATGTGAACTTCTTCCTTTTCTTTGCTGGACCTACAGCATCTAAATCATCAAGACCGTCAAGTCCCTCATCTAATAAAGTGTTAAGCTCAGACTCACCAACATCCAGCTTTTCCTCTCCCTCTTCCATTTTGTTAAAACTAGTTCTGCAAAAAAAAAAAAAAAAAAAAAAAAACATGCATACTAAAGCATGAACTAGCATGAAACATGCTATATGATTAATTGGAAAATCCCAGTTTATCATGGATGAAACACAGCAAATCAACACTACGAAAAAGACATACATACACAATTGAGTGAAACTGGTGAAGGATCTAACTAAAGCATAATATTAAACGACCTCAAATAACCAGTATAAGAAATAAAATTAATGGATGAGGAGGAACATACTGTAGGTAGAGGTATCAATCTGTTCAGGAAGTTGCTTTATATCCACCTCAAACCTGGACTAAACCTGGAATACACAACAAACAAAATTAGTAATGCCAATTCACCCAGCATTGTTATTATGAATACCAATGGCAGCAAGAGAAAATTCCAACATGGTTCAATACACAATTGCCAAAGACAGAAGCACAGCAGATGCAAGACAAAATGGTTCAATTCAATTAAATGGTTAAAGCATGAATACAATTGCAGTGAAACAAAAATTGCAGTTTCAACAAGGCAAATATAAGGTATGAGGATAAGCAAATATCAAGAAACTAGTTCAGTTTACATCAAGAAACTACAACGAGAGATATCAAAAAATAAAAAGACTTCATTTGATGTCAGTATTCCCATTGACATTCAACAAATCGTTGGGAGACTGGGAACTCAAAAAAAATGGTCTTAGAAACCCACTACAATGCTAGCGACAGGAGTCAAAATTCTCAAGCATTATCAACTATACCCATCATGAAATCAAAATTCTACCTAATCTGACAAAAACACAAATTGAAGCCTAAGAAATCCTAACCTCCAACGAAAAAAAATCTGCAATAAAAGTTAATGGAGAAAAGGAAGCAAGATTACCTTGTCTTTGCCCATGGTAAATACAACCTTCATCAAGAATTAAAATTAAAAAAACTTATTTAATTGAAAAAGGTCCAGTAGCGTAAAGAGGAAAAAGAAAAGATATTTTATTTGTTTTGGAAAAAGTAGTGAGAAATGGTAAGGTTGCATTTGCATACGCTACACCCTCGCGTCCACATCCTCATACGCTACACCCTCCTCACTCAAACCCCCCAAACAATTTAAAAAATTAACCCCCAATGGTGAAGTGGTGACCGACCGCTTGTTTCAATTCAATTAAATGATTCAGTTTCAAAACAATTTTTATACAGAAACTCCAAAAAGGTACCCATCATTGCACACCCATCAAGTTACATACATTGTTGAGAACATCAACATCAGTTAAAAGAGAAGAATAAGTTACAAACTAAGAGAAGAATAACCTTTAACAAGAGTCAAGAGAGAGGGCGAGATAGGAGGACTGTGAGGGGGAGTGGAACGATCTCCGTTGTGAGGGGGAGAGAAAGAGAGGAACGACTATGCTGAAGGGGAGAGGCAGAGAGAAACGATGAAGCTGTGATTTACGAATGGGATGACTAAAAACCTAATCGGCTAACCCTAAAGTATACCAACGTAAATTTACTAAAGTCACCCTTATCCGGGTTGACACGTGAACCCGCGGGTCAACACGTGACCCGGCACGAAAAAAAACGTGTCACTTTTTTGAGACCCTGACACGGCCCGCCTGGACCCGCGGGTTGACCCGACACGCGATTTAGCGGGTCGTGTCACGGGTCAACCCGCGGGTCAATACCTGTATTGCCACCCCTACTGCTCAATCATCCTTTTTGTAGTTGCATTTCACATGTGCTACGGGGCTCATTGACAGAAAAGGGGTAAAAAGTAAACACAAAAATTATCAAAATAATAGTAAAAAATATATATCTACGTTGGGACTTATGATACACTGACACGGGACACGACACGTCAATACTGTGGAGATTCAAACACATGCTCTCACCCTTACCTGCTTAGCTTCCATGCGACAACTGAGCTATCAGTTACCACCATTTGGTAAACACGCCGACATGTTAATTCTAAAAAAAATCATATTTTGACACGTTGGAACACGTTTTGATATTAAATAATATTTTTAATATGGGGCGGGATATTCTTACACCAGTGTAAGAGTTAGAAGTCTTACACTCAATCTTGACCATTGATCCACTTGTATCTAATGGCTCACATTACTAAAAAATCAGAGCCCTTATATATAAGTGTGATCAACGGACAAGATTAAAAGTGTAACTTACACTGGTGTAAAATGATCCTGACCCTTTTAATATATATAATATAATCTATATTTAATACATATAACAGCTCATAATAAGTCATTTAAACAATCAAATATTCAAATTTCATAACATAAATATAAACAAAAATAATTTTCCGTACCTTGTTAATTTTTCATGTTGAATTTAATAACAGAAAAAATTGATTTATAAATTATTTTTTTGTATTTTAGTTAATAAAATAAAATTTAGACCTAAAAAAAAAAATGTGTCGGAAGCGTGTCAAAACGTTGACCGCGTGTCCTAAAATATTGATCGCGTGTCGGAACGTGTCGGTGTCCGACACGCATTTTTTTTAAATTTTAAACTTGTTCGTACTTCATTGGTTGGGAATACGCAGGAGAAATAAGAAAGAATGCATAGGAGAGAGATAGAGAAGAACATAGTTAAGTTGTTTAATATGAAAAAAAAAAATTCCAATGTGAAGAAGTAAAAACCCATGAGACACTAATTCAAAATCAAATTTTCATTATGTAAATAATAGATTACGAGTCAAGCTTCATTGGTCTTTCACTTGAGGTACAATCAAGCTTCATTAAGTATGGTGATAATATCAAATGTCCCTAAAGAGGTCTAACACTCACACATCTCTTTAGAGATACTCTCAAATAATCAAGCATCACCTATAATGGTGATATTCAAACTTGCATATAGAGATCTCACTCAATCTTCTCCCTATATTTTTTTCCATTTAATACGAAGGATTTCAATACAACTCTTCATTCTCCCATAAAATCCTTTCATTTTCCCATGAAACCTTTTCATTCTTCCATGCATTAGAACTTATATCTAATTAAGGAGAAATAATCCAACAATCTCTAACGGCGTGGGACAATTTTCACACAATAGCGCTTGACACCTCTGAAAGTCAGGTGCGTACCTAATTTAGCCACGGTTGAAACCGTTGTTTTCGCTGCTCCTTCAGTACTGACAAGTGACGGCAACTCTCCTCTCCTCTCCTCTCAATCCACTCGAGACATTAATAAACCCCATCATTGTTTTCTAGTGACATAAAAAAAAATTCTACCACCGAAGCAAAAATGATAATCTCTTTTCTTATATTGTTTTAGTTATTTTTATTTTTATTTTACCCATGTTAGCCCACTGATAGTTTCTGTGATTGTTTGACAGATTTCATCTGTTGAGCAATTTTTGGATCGGGGTTTTTGCATCAGAGGCTTGGACCAGCTGAGATATTTTTCTGGGCTTAGAATTCTCTGATTCCCAGGCTGGGACCATTTTAGATCAACGCACGCAACTATGCGTTGGAACGTGTGTCTGACTGGTATTCTACACAACTTTTGCTATAAAGAAAAAGGAACCAACAAAAATACAACTATAAAAACAATTATAAATCTCTTTGCCTTTACCCAGCAGCAAGAGTTCATAATCCTCACCATAATTAAATCATAAATATACTTATCGAGACTCATAATGGACGAATTATCACTCATCAATGTTCTTTCTAACATTCAAAATGTTTCTAGCATATGAAAGCCTAACTCCTTTGAATTTTGTCCAATGTTCATGCATGAGACTTCGATGGACTTCATTAGGAATCTATACAACCCCAATCATTCCACCAAATATCAGATGAACGCAAAACCACCATAATTCGGACTTCTGAACTGTCATGTGATTCAGCAAAACCATAGCTGCCAACTTTTGATGGTCATAACATCCAGTTCTTCCTCGGATTCAGCTTGTAGCCACTCATTATCCTAGCATCATTCTGCACCATTAGATTCAGCAGCCTTTCAAACTATTGGTAAATAACCAACAACAGTCTAACAAAGACGGCCTTGATTTGAATGTAGAAACTCGCTAACAGTGATAAACAAGGAGGAAGGTTGGACTGAACAAGCTCAAACGATACACATAATACAGCCTTCCTCGGGATTACAAAAGCCAGTATAGCTCTGAGAGAACGAAGCAGATATACACAACCAGTTAAAAACCACTATAATGATGAATAATGTAAACAACTATCACTACAAGATAAACAAGCACACAGCAGCAGCAGCAGCAACTATAAAGGTGTACTGAAGTATATTAACACGCTGTGCCTATTATATTGCGAACCAAGAGAGTATGCAAATTCCCCAACTTGGCTGCTAGGAACTCGTCTGATATTTTCTACACTTCTTGACCAGGGCTGCTAGTTTTCAAGATGTTATACTTGCAGAGGGGGCAAGTAGCATTAATATACAGCCATTTGTCCACACAGGCACAGTGAAAATGGTGACCACAAGGAAGTTGTCTCAGTTCAACCCCGTCATCATAAGCAGAAAGGCAGATGCAACATTCCTACAGTTTACCACCCAAAAAAGAAAATTTCAGTTTAGCAGAACAACAGAGGGAGCATCCAGTGTTTTCAAACCATTAAATTATTATAGCAAAATTATCTCTCATGTGCTTGAACCATTATGTCAAATTCCATACCAAAATATATACATATTGCATCCTCCACAGTAAGAATGTGTTCAAAACAAGACTCCTTGCTAGAGCTTATAACGAAGTCAGTGTTTGGAATATCACATGGATTTCCCTTTAGAAATATATTTAAATAATATCTAGTGAGAGACAGAGCAAAAAGAACACCGGGACAAAGGAGAAAACGTTATGCCCATACATAACAAAAAAGCACAACATACCGCATCCTCATCTGAAAGAACATGTTCAATAGGAGAATCAGCATGACATTCAGTCATTATTCCTCCAACTGGTCCTTGTGTACTACCAGCAAGTTTCTCATTACTTTCAGTTCTTCGGAATTTGAATTTTGACAACTGCTCAATGTCTTCTTTTGATGCTCCTTCCTGCATTTTTTGGACCCCCAAAAAGGAGAGAAAGGCATGAAGGCAAGGAACAGTACAATTAACACATTAGAACAAATATTTCAAAAATTAAAGACTCTTAAACTACAAGCCATTGTCATCATGTCCACTCAAACACTCAATAAATAGTAATACACTCACAATCAACCAAGTTGTAGGAAAGCAAATAATATGACAAAGTTTACACCTTCTCACAGATCCTAGAAGGTCAATAACATCAACCTGAATGAAGCATACAAATCTCAGAATAAAGAAAATTATCTCAGAACAAACAACTATAGGACAAGTCATAACCTTTATCATAAGCATATAATGTTATAATTCACCTCACCTTCAATGTTAAGAAAATCTAAGTGATACAAGTTCATAAACAGTCTCCAAGGTTTTCCCAATAAATCAACCATAAGAAGTTGACCTTTTACTCATCACAGCTGGTCATGCCACCTTTAATATCATCCATGCAAACATCTCAAAATTAGCTACACCTAATCAAAAATCAATTTTGCATTTCAAGTTTCACAGAGTTTATCAGAATCTGTCTCGTACTTTACATTTTAAACATTTATTTTTCATACACCACTTTGCAGTAGCTGTCAGATTCTTCAAAAATTGCCCAGTCTATTTCATGATATCAAAACATTTCTTCTTAATGTATTCACAACACTATTTCTTTTTCTTTTTTTCAGGAAGGCAACGGTTAGTAACAGAGACAAAAATTAGTTACTAGCAAAGGTTAAGCAAGAGGCACACAATTAAGACAATCACTATTTCCGGTTTGCTACAGGTGCCTGCTCCCCCAGAAAGTCACAAATAGCAATCTCCAGTTCAACATATTACGGTTTAGCTTAGGTTGTTCGTCTTCAGCAGAAGAATAAATGTTATACTTCTCCTTTGTAACAATCCATATGACTGACATAATATAAGATACAATACTTCAATCTTTAACCCTCCCAGTCATTTCAATCAGAAGTTCTGCTCAGCATCTTATATTCTAAAGGATCTTATTAATGTCACACCACAACAAGTAACAAAAAATAAATTATGATTTCATATATTTAGTTTTGCCTGTACACGGCATATGGATATCTCTTTATACCGAATAGCAATTCCAGTCATTCTAGTTTCATCCTTCCATTTCATTTAGCCTCAATGAATTCAAAAGTACTTAATATTTGGAACCATACATTTTACCAATTTCCATTAAGACTCAGTAAATGCTGCTAACTAAAGTAAAATTTGAGGCACTACATTCATAAATTGATTCCAACTCAAACAAGAACAAGTAATGACCATGACTTGCCTGGTCTGCAACTGCGTACAGAAGTGCAATGATACATGGAAGACAACAGCAAACAGCGATACCAATGATGCATGCCAGTGCAATACAGAAAACGACAAAGAAAACATCAAAACCCAGGAAGACTATACATAACCTGCAACACAAGTAGATTTTGTCAAAAGCAATCAACTAAAATAAAATATATTTCCCAAAAGGAAAATAAATAACAAAGAAATATAATAATAGATATATGAACAAGTTGCATTGCGCATGTATGTGTACACGCATGCACAAGTGCGAGAGAGAGAGAAAGAGAGAGAACAAACCAGTAAAGCTGAGGAGAATCTTGGACCAAAGCTTGACCATCAGCTGATACCCAATAGAATCCAACGACCCACCAAATAAAAGAAAACATTGTGTTGGCTGATTCCAAATGCTTCGCCATACTGCTTGGAAAAAAAGAAAATCATGAAAACGCAAAACATAAAGTATTTTAAAAAAAAATTATGAATAAATCAATGATTGATGGTACTAATTTCTCAAGCTAATATGTCCAATATTGTTTTTTCAAACCACAACTTTGTATTCTTATGCATAAATTTAGAAAGCATCTTCTTTTATCCCAAAAGTAATGTGTGTGCCATATTAATCAAGTTAGGAGGTTAATTCATAACATAAAAAAAACGTTAAATTAAAAAAGACACACAAGTTATTAGTCTTAAACAAAGGCATTATATAATCTTTTTGGAAATTAAATCAGGGCAATAAAGCATTTGTCCCATATCATCTAGTATTTACAATTTTAGTATTTCACATTAAGAAAACCAAGGCTGAAAGCTGATTTATAATACTTAGTCATCACACCGGTCGGGGTTCAAAAATCAGAAGTGTTAAAGGGTACATAAACCTATGTAGTACACCTGTGCTTCGAGAGATTGAATAAAAAATAACTCTATTATCTGATAATTTATGACAGCCTATATCATCTCTTTCTACAATCAGAGCTAAGTTACAACATCATTTTCAATCACTCAAAGTAATTTGAGACAGATTTTAGAGATCTTCAGACTTAAGAGGACTTCAAGAGGATTGAAAATTGAAGCATTTGATATATTTTGAACTAACTTTTTTTTTCTTTCTAATTTAACTATTGAGAAACCTTGCCATATGAGTCTTTGACATGAATTGAAGGTTTGCTAGAGTTTTCAATTAACATAGCTATTTTTCACTAAATAAATGGAACTTGAAACACAAGGTGTGTGGGTACCCAACAATTTCACATGCACATCCCAAAAACATATTCAGTCAAAAACGGCATATACCATGACACTCCAATTAGTTCAACGGAGTTTCATCACATCATAGGAAACATATGAAAGCATGTAGGTTCCTCAAAACCCAGAATAGATATCAACACTATTCCTAATCCTAATTATATGGCTCAAAGCAACCTGAATTCATATCAGGCATCAACTTATTCCACAGGGGAAAAGCACTCAAATTTTTATTAAGGATAAGTTTTGCATCCCTAAAATTTCAAAAGTTCAAATAAATGTCTCATTTATGCTTCAGAAATTCACCTTACACCATCCTCTTCGAATTGCGACAATGACATGTACTGCCCAGAACCATCCATAGAACCCGAGCTCAAATCCCCACTGCCCCCAACTCCAACGACGCCGTCTAGCACGGCGTTATTGGAGTTCAACCGTTCCCGCCTCCGCCTCCGATACTCGACGCAGACGCACACAACGTGAAGGATGCACTGCAGAGCGTACCCTACAATCCACAACCTGAGAGGAACGCTCGGAGACTCATTCCGACTCAGAACCAACACCGTAGCCCCCGCAACGATGAACGCCAAGTTCCAGAGAATATCAAGGACCACCACGGGCTTCGAATAGGCCCAATCGCTCTGCCTCTCTTCAATTTGCTCCGCCGCCGTCTCCCTCACCACCATCGACGGCTCCCGCAACATCCTCCGCCCACTCGCCTGCCTCAGGAACCGCGCAGCCTGCCGCAGGCTCTGCCGGCGAACCAAACGACGGCCGGAGTTCGATTCGTCAGATGAATTGCCGATGAACGGAGTCGGATCGGCGGCGTCCTCGTAGGAACGGTTCGGTGACCTTGTCGTCGCCATGTAAAATGTGTTGTGATTGTCGTCTTCCTTTGTTTTCCCCCCCAAAAAAAAAAAAAAAAGAACGTGATTCAGTTCACGACATCTAAATCTAGTTACTGATACTGTTAGAGAAGAGAAGAGATTCGAGAGGGTTTTCGAAATCGACGATTATTTGTTGCCAGATTTGTAGGTAGAATCGAACGAGGACATGGAATTGTGAAGTGTCTGAAAACGGAAATTAAGATTACGATTGTGATTTCTTTCTTTTCTCGGGGTCGTTGTCAATATTTTCATGCGGTGCCGTTTTGATTGGTTTTTTTTTTTTTTTTGTTTACCGGACGCGCATTTTTTGTTCCCGCTAAAATTAAATGGAACAACGTAGACCAGTTAGGACCAAATATTAGTTTCGTTTTTTCGTTTTTTTTTTAATTTTTTTTTACTGCACTTGGTGGGATTTTCATGAAGCTTCAGAGTCATAAATGTCGTTTATTTCCAAAAATAAAAAAGAGTCATAAATGTCGGCATGGTATTCAATATATAATATGATATTCACAACAAACTTTTCTTTAAAAGCTTACATTCTTATTGGTTTATGCTAGGTAGACAACAGGCGACTACTTTCTTTTATGAAAGGCATTCGAGCATGATCAATGAAGTCTGATTAAATTGAAAACTTGATTTTTTTATGTAAATGATTTTTTAATCAACAATGAAGAGATTTGAATTCAATTAAAAGGGATTCGTAATCGATCAGGATTATGTCATTAGATGCTGCCTCCATAGAATTTAGTTATGCACTCAAGAAGTGTTAGGATATCTATTTTTTTAAAATATATATATATTGCGGTATATCTTTTGAATTTTATTTGAGGTTAGTTATGTGAGTTGAAGTATCCATTTGACAGGTTTTTTTAGTTTCTTTAGCCAAATATATTTTTGGGAAAAACGTTTGTCTTGTTAAAGTATATAACTTTATGTAATTTTAGATCATAATCATTGATTTTCGTCAATCAGTGATTATAATTTATTGAGTTAAATTTATTAAGTAATTCGTAATTCGTAATAAATTATAATCATTAATAATCGGAAATCAAATATTAGGATCCAAAATGATACAAAGTTATACTTTAAAAGACAAATATTATTTTTTCCATATACTTTCACCAAAAATTTTATTTAAAAAATATATATAAGAAAATAAATAAAATAAAAAAGACTATAAGCTCCCAGAGAGAGTTTTTTAAAGATATATGTCAACTGTTTTTGAGTCTTTATATTATTTTTTAATTATGTCCTTATTCTACCATGAAATTTATAAATTCTATTCTCTATCCTAACGATAAATCTTTTGATCTCCGCATCCTTCTAAAATGCTAAAAACGTTAATGAGGAGAATGAATAAGGGTGTGCAGGACAACCATTATATTCCCGAGCATTATTTCTGAAAATAAACAATTCTTTTCTATTTATGTGCCTTGGAACAGTTTCTGAGGAAAAAAATGTGTTTGATAACATGTTCTATTTTTATTCCGAGAATGAGAATTGTATTTGATAACACAACAAATAATATAATAAAAAATAATTCCTATTAAATATAAAAAAAATTCGAATCAACTCTTTCCTTTCTATATTGTGTGGTTGTGGTGGTGGTGGTGGTGGCGGCGGCGGCGCAATAGTGGTGGTGGCAGTGATGTGGTGAAGATAGTGGTGGTGGCAGTGACGACAGTGGCTGCGACAATGGCGGTGGTAGTGGTAAGGATGGTGGTGGTGGAGGTGATGGCAGTGGCAACGACAATGGTGGTGGGTATGGTGGTTGGTGGCGGTAACAATGGTAGTAGTGGCATGGTGGTGGTGGTTGTGAAGGTATCATGGTAGTGGTGGTGGTGGTAGTGACTGCGGCGGTGGTGATAGGTGACAGTGGTGGTGGTGGTGTAATGGTGGTGGTGGTGACGGTAATGGTTGTGACGATGGTGGTGGTGGTTAGTAGCGGCGACGACGACGGTGGTGGAGACGGTAGTGGTTGCAGCAATGGTAGTGGTGGTGATAGTAGTGGTGGTGGTAGTGATGACGATGGGGGTGGTGGCACTGGCATGTGATGGCGATGGTGGCGGTGACGGCAGTGGTTACGATGGTGGTGGTGGTTGATGGCGGTGGTGACGGTGGCGGTGATAGTGGTGGTGGTGGTGGTGGTGGCGGCGTCGGCGGTGGTAGTTGTGGTGGTGACGGTGGCATGGTGGTAGTGATGGGTGGAGGTGGTGGTAATGGTGGCGGTGACATCGTGGTGGTGAGGGGTGGTGACGACGGCACAAGTGGTACGATGGCGGCGGAGACGATGGTGGCGACAATCGTGTCGGGATGATGGTGGTGGTGGTGATGATGGTAGAGGTGGAGACTGATTGAGAGAGATAAGTGTTTCTCATTTTGTGTCCGGGAACAAAAAAGCAAAAAAAAAAATTGATTCTTTTTTTTGCTCCCCAGCACAAAAATTAAAACAGTTCATCCCAGGAACAAAAAAATAAACTGGTTTTACCAAACGAGTTTCCTATCCATTTCTGTTCTCGGGAACAAAAATTAAAAAAGAATTAATTCCGATAAAGTTGTCATGCACACCCTAAAATTACATTTATTCAAACTTTGATCTATTTTTGTCCTTTAAAATTTTTATGTGTGTTTTATTTCTTATCATATTTGTATTTATTTAAATAATAGATATTTTAATACCCTTTTATGATAATTTTAATTAGAAACAAAGTTAATGAAAGTTATTTTACGAAATGCTATGGACCCAATTTATGAGTCAATACTTTATTGGCCAACTGTGCAATTAACTAAGAAAGGATTAAGGAAAGAATCCTATACAATAAATCCATATTATCATTTCTAATACAATATTGTAAAATCTTGATAATAAAAAGATTCTTTTAAAAAATATTTGTAAATTCGTGTTGTCCTTAAAAAGCTATTAAAATCAGTAGTATTTTTTACCTCATAATTTTTTTTAAAATCTAAATCCAATATGCCATTTTAAGTTAGAAAATTTATATAATCAAGAATAATTTTTATTTTTATTTTAAATTCTTAGTTTTAACTTAAAAATTACGTTAAAAAGACTTTGGGGGCGTTTGGTACAGGAAAACTTTTTTTGTATTCGGGAAATAATTATTACCATAATGTAGTTGAAAATATATTTTACTGAAATGTTATCAAAAAGTTGTTTTGTAGGTGCAAATTTTGCTTGGATTATTTGGTTAAGTTTACTAAGTCTGTGTTTGGTTGATAATGAAATATTACTGGGAATGTGGGGTTATTTTACAAAAATAACCCTGCCTCTATTTTTTGTATTCAAACATGTATTTGTACGTTGAAATATGCATTTGGGTCAGGGTTTTCTTCAGCCACTGTAGTTAGAAGAAATATTTTCTCGAGAGGTGGGGTTCCATGGTTTTTCAGAAGAGCTCTGTCATCGTATTTGAAAGGAGTGGGAAGAATAGGACGCAGTTGTGAAGACATTGTGCTGGGCTTCGTCGGCAGAGATGCCATAGTTGGACACACACTCATTCGGGTTACTGTCGAACATTGTTCTCTTAGATTTAGATTTCACAAAGCAAAGACGAAAGCTACTCTTTCGGAAGTGAGATTGATAAAGTACAGTCCATTATTCTCTTTCTTAACAAGGTAGCAATCTCAAGGGTAATTTGGTAACAAAGTTCGCGCTTCTTTTTTCTTTTCCCCGGGGAATCCAAAATGCCAACAAATCTATGGAATTTTTATCTTAGAGGTTGGATGCTATTTTACACAGGCCAAACAAATCTGGGATAAAAATTTTACGATTGATACCAAACACAACATTTTGGAAAACCCAATGTCATTTTCCCAGACAACACAAAACATTCCGGCTACCAAACAGGCCCTTTAAGTATTATTTTGATGACTTTTGCCCACATTTTATATTTTAGCTTAAATATGTTGAGATAATTGAGTGTTATCTTACATTATATAGCATATGTCATGTCGTGAGACATAGAAACGTGTGTTACCTTTTTTGTTTTTTTATAATAAAAAAATTAAGTGGGCCTCATATTTTTTGTCTCACAACATGACATTTGTTATATCATGCAACATGATAGATTAATAGTCAATTCTCCCAAATATATTTTATGATAAGACAGGGATTTTATTTACATGTACATACTGATATCTTGCAAATTCCCAAGCCACGTACCTCGCGAATAAAATTATTTGCCAAATTACCATAATCTGTGAACTATTTATTATATTGCATGCAAGATTATATATATATATATATATATATATATATATATATATATATATATATATATATATATATTTTATGTGTAAAGAAAAAATAAATAAAAGATTAATGAGACTCGTTCTCAGAATTAACCCACATTCTTTTCAAAGTTTCTACCTTTGTCTTGTTATGTAGTGTGTCTTCAATTTTTAAGTTTTGAGCTCCACTTGCTTCAATATAGCTGTTGTGGCTGCCATATTGGGAACTAATCTGATACAGAGATAGTCTCTGTAACTGAATAACCGTCTCAATATATTTCTTCAATTAACAATGATACCTGTCTCATTACACATGTCAGTATTTATACATGCAAACTCTCTTAATCTTGACACATCAACCAGCACGTGTCTAACTGCTGCTTACTAACTAGTTACACTAATACAATGACAATTATATGATAAAAGACCCATGGACTTATTCTATTGCATCACATGGTCTACAGCCCATGAGGGAAAGCCTTTCACCCTATGTCCTCTTCTCTCTGGTTGTATTCCATCTCTGACATCTTCCCTCTCTTCGAAAGCCACCTTGTCCTCAAGGTTGGGATATGTATGAAGCAACTCCTCAGCATTTTCCCAGGACGCATCTTCAGGCACAAATGAAGACCATTGAACTAACTTCTGAAGAACAGATTTGCCTCCCACCACAGTTGATCTCGAAGCTAATATAGCAACAGAAACTTGAACTGGTTTGTTGTCAATGCTCTTGGTTGGCAAAGGTTCAAAACTCGGACCTGATGAACCATAAAATGGTTTCAAGACTGAGATATGAAAAGTAGGATGAATTAAGCTGTCTTCAGGTAAAGTGACCTTATAAGCTACAGGGCAGATAACTCTTTCAATGGTGTAAGGACCAAAAAAACGTTTGGCCAACTTATGATTAGCTCTT